CGCAATCCGGTCCATCCCACTCCACCGTTACGCGAAAGGTTCTCCCTGTCAGGTAGCTCTCAGTCCACTTGACTAAACTAGGGTGGATCCCTATCGATCCTAGCCTGCCTATTAGCAGCCGATGGTTTACAGAGTCAAAGGCCTCACTGAAGCTTAGATGGCAGACTTTGACTCCCTCCCTCCTGTCCGTCGTTCAGTCACGATATCCAGAAAGGCTAGCAGATTTGTGAGGCAAGAACGGCCTTTACGAAACCCGTTCTGAGCAGGCCGCAAATGGGTGAGGCAGCTGGCCATCTTATCTCTGATTAACCTTTTCATGATCTTTAGGATCACGGAGAGTAAGCTAATGGGTTTAGAGTTAGTGGCCACCTCCTTGTCGCCCCCTTTGTGGATGGGGGCCACAGTAGTCCATTTCCAGTCCTGTGGCAATGTGGATGTCGCCATGGTTAGATTGAAGAGGTGAGCTAACGCGGCTGCCAGGATAATCTGGAAGTGCTCACACAAGTCGATGGCCTTCTGGGAGTTTGTCGTGGAGGAGGTGTTGTCCTTCTGCTTGATACAACCGACTGCTTCCCCTGTAGTCGACTTAGACTGGAAATATCTGTAGTAGGCCTAAGGGAAACGCTTTGCTTTCTTGACCAGGGAAACCTCGAAAGCTCTTTTGGCATCCAGGAGGATGCGGACGAAAGACTTTCGCTAACATAAGTACTGTAGGTGTCTCAAATAACCACCTGTGACACAGAGTCGCTGTCACGCCGCCCGCTTTCTAATTAGGGCTTTTCTCATTCGGCTGGACCACCAGGATGGGGTGGTTCTCAACCTAACGCAACACAGAGGTGTGGAACTATTGGTGAGAGTCAGCAGGTTACCCCCGACCAAATCCCACGACTGTACAACCCCACAGTTTGCGTCTGACCAGACCATGGTCCGACCCGCAGCCTGGAGACATTCGGTATTCATGCACCCATAACGTTGGCGCAATTTGACTTGACATAGGGGAAGAGAACAGCCGTATTGGCACCGGATACCAGCGTGGTCAATTTTGCCTGGAGGTGCATCTATAGCAGTGTTCCCTATGTCATTCCTGCTTTTGGTAAATACAAAATCTAAGGTGCTAGGAGAGTTACTTAGTCGCCATCGAGTGGAATCGGTGACGTGCTGGGAGAGCGCCAATTCGTGCATCATCCCCAAAGCTGTCCACTGGAGCATGCTCCATCTCCCATTCAATCTCAGGGGCACTGAAATCCCCCAGGACAGGAACCCTACTTGCCCGAGTTGTTGTGTGCCGGAGAAAATCCATCGCAACTCATTTTCCTCGATGCCCGCACTTGGGCTACGTTAAACACAAAGGACTGCTAATCTTACTCCTGTGAGCTTGATTACGCATTCGGCAGCCTGTATGTTCTCCTTACACAGAGTATCCACGGCCGTCTGAGGAAAGTGGTCCGCCACAAGCAGCGGGGCACCACCCCCAACCTGTCCCCTGGACGATGGCGGCGATACACCTGGAATCCTGGTGGACAGAGACCCGCGATACAAAATTTAAACCTGAGCCAGGTCACCGTTGTGGCGATGCAGTGCGTTTTATCAGCCTCAGCCAGGAGCTCGGCTCACTTGTTCATTGGGCTGGAGGCGTTAGTCTAGTAAACACTGAGAGCCTGCGCCTTTTTACCTCCTATTGCTTTGAGAGGTTGCAACCGGGATTTGCTTCCGGGTGACCTCCAAGCTTTTTACCTCTGGTCTGGTGGCGGAGTTCCCCTGTGGGTTCTCCGACATATTGCGGTCTTCGTACTCTTGGGATTCATCCCTCGGATCAGCCCTAGGAACAGGGGTACCCCATTCTCGCTACGTTAACGGACAGGATCGTGGTGCAAAATTGCTGCCTGCAGCTAGTTAAGGCCGTTGTGTTGTTGTCGCGGGGGTAGTCCGACCCTATGGTTATCTGTTCTTCGGTTAACTTCCTCACACTGGCGGAAGCTGAAATCATCAAGTCCCGGTGCCTCGGATTATGAAGCACTACAAGGGTTGGCATAGGTGGTAAGGCGCTAGGTGCCCGTTGATCGCTCTGCCACTTACCAAGGCGCAGAACTCTCTCGATTTGCACCTCTGAGGGGATCTGAGTGAGCCGGATTATGTTTCTAACTTGGTGTAGGAGCGATCGCCTGCGGCTGCGCGTTTCTCTACAAAACGGGTCTGGGATGCCCTTAATAAAGACATTTCTGTTTCTCCCTAGGGCTATGTTGGTGTTGGCCTCAAGCCTATGCAGATAGTCTCAGGCTGGTGGTAACTTCGGGGAGCTTCGCAATGGCCTCTTCGTGAGCGTCCATGCACGCATCAAGTGCCCCTTTCCCTGGTGGCAAGTGACTCTGGGTAGCCTTGTTGGTTCCCTGCCTGTTTCCGGCTGCTTTCACACTGATTTCTGCGGTTGCCGATTTGGTAATTCGTGCCTTAGGGATGGACTTTACCTCTCGGTTTAGGGGAGATACTGACGTGGTTGGTTGGTCATCACGCTCAGGTTTCCCCACTAAAATACATTCTCGGTTATTAACTACTCCAGACTGGTTTCCCTCCCCAGGCATCAGAGCCCCTAGCTCGGGGTTACTTCTGTTCATCTGCCTACGC